CAACCGTTGAAGTTGACTTTTCCTTTTTTTGGAACAGCGGGCTTATGAGTAGAGGAGCAATATCTAAGATGGATAGAAAGAGAATACGCATAGTCAAAATGACATATTTGGTGTTGGTAAAAATCAATTATATAGCATCAAATCAATCATTTTGCGACGATTTGTAATTTATAAAAATTGTTGACTCGAATTTTTAAGAGAATTTCCTACAAAAGTAGATCATTTCCAACTTCATAATTAATATTGTACCATAGAACACTCACAGAATAGGACAAAAAATTTGCGCATCGTCCCTTTGTTCTTCCATAACTGTTTGGTGACTATGACGTCGACGATACTGCCGGAGATTAACGACATGATGCAGCGGCCCAGCGTTGGCAAACTGTTTATGCCTCCGCTCTGCAACAGGGCATATGGGTTCTCTTGAAGGCGCCATACTTCTCCCCCTCTTACATCCCGTGACAATTGTGCCCATGAGCGAATAAATATAATTACAAGATGTATCTGATTGTTGCCTACTTAGTTCAGGAGATTGGGTTGTGTTCCGTCTCAACTCCCTAGTCGGATTGGTCAAGGGTTCGAATCATCGTGGAGGGCCTCGCATTTATAACCAAATATCCCGAGAAGCTCAAAAGTGTGCAAAAGTCTAGTGAAAGGTTAGAGGTATGAACCAGAATTACCAGGTTTTACTCTTGTATAATATTCTTGAAATCAAATTTAAATTGTACTATTAGAGGACCGAAAAAATGGAAAAAAGTGTGAAAGAAATGTATTTTGGGCGTCAATAGACGTCAGCTAGGGTAGAAGAAGGTAGGGAAACACCGAAAAGCTGGCCCAGACTAAAGAGATAAGGAAGCTACCTTGTAAGAAAAAGCATGTGGCATTTCTTACTGTGTACTACTAGTTACAATATTGTTTAATATTTTAATGCAATATGTAATAAGCGAAAGAAAAAAGTATTCCATCTCTTTATATTAAGCCAAGGAAAATGTTTTTTTTGCCAAAGACTGTACCATACGAAGGCCTATTGCAGGAGACAAGCGACTTGCGCCCTCTGCGCTGTTTTGCATCCAACTGAAGACTGTCCCTCCCACACGTCTGACAATCCATTCACCCCAAAATGCATCAACTGCTCCCTAAACCACCCTGCCTACGACCCAAAATTCCCCTTCACAGTAAAAGCCAGAGAACAACGACACGCACAGATGACCAAATCACTAAGTCACCCACCCACAACAACTCATTCCAACCGCCCCCTAAGACCCCAAAACCAATCCTACGCCTCTGCCGACAACCTAAGCCAAACCCAACAACCCACAACCAACAACAAACTACTCAATCAACTACCCAAGCCATAAAAGACCTAATCTCCCTTCTTCAAAATCCTACTGTGAAAAAGATAAGCTTAACTTAAAACCCCTCCTCTAAATCCTCAAAGGCCCAGAGGACATCATCACTAAACTCATTACAGCAGGAATCAAATTAGTTGAAGTCCTCAACTAATGGCTCCGCCTCCCAAAATCCTAACCCTATCTTCGTGGAACGCGCGAGGCGGCATAAACCAGAAAAAAACATCCTCATCCAATTCCATAAAGATTACTCCATCGAGAAACTATCTTACAAGAGACGTGGCTGACACCCGACAGATCATTTTCCATTTCTAACTACACCACAATAAGAACCAACCGTACCTCATCCGCTGGAGGCGATACGGCAATCCTCATCCGACGATCCATCCCACACACCCCTTACCAACTCCCTCCAACATCCGACCTAGAATGCACTGCGGTTGCTATAGGCTCCTCCATATCTCAAATACTTCTGATATACTGCTACAAAGCCCCCTACGATCCCCACCGATCCCCGACTCCAACCTAGACACCCTTAAAAACCTTCCCTACCCCTTCATTATCGCAGTCGACCTCAACAGCAAATCGATCTCATGGGGCTGCATGACTAGTAAGGGGACGGGCTTACAACTAGAACATTTCATGGGCACAAACCCCCAAAACCAAATAAAAGTACCTTCTGAACCTACCTACCTTGTTCGTTACATTCCCCACGATATCCTATTATCCTCTATTCCACCCAAATACTAATAACCATTCCCCACCCAAAATACGACCTACCTGACCACTTCCAAATAGTTTTCACCAGCTCCTCAAACCCCAACTACATCCTTCCCAAACCCCCATCAATACCAAAAATCGACTGGAAGAAATTTAAACACATTCTATCTAAGAAAATTAACGTTCCTTCAGATATATTCACCACGCACTCCATGTACAACTCCATAGACCACCTTACCTACCACATAAAACAAACATATCGGAAAACCACATTCTACTCCGGAAATACACACGCCGCCCTCTCTGACGAAATCCTTACGATCATACGACATAAACGACGAATTCAACGACGATACTACAAACAGACGTGACGACGACAACCGAGAATTAAAAAGAACGCAAGAAACAATACACAACTTACTTAGACATATACGTATGACGACCTACTATCTGACAAAAGCAGCCCCAACAATATCCATTAAGTCATAAAAGCAATCAGGAACCATCTCACGCCCATTTTTCCTATCCTAACCACCAACATTTGACCCCCAAACCATCACCGACACCTTCGCCCTATCCCTGTCCGAACGATTCCTCCCCCCAATATCCCAATCCCAGACAGTGTTCTTTGGAATTTCATGGAAACCCCACCTTTACCACCCGACCAACAACAGACCTGGACGACGAACGACACAGAAGTAAAACAGATGCTTAAAACGATCGACTGCAACAAATTACCCGGACCCGATGGAGTTCTCCCACCTCAACTCACCCACTTAACAAAAAATGCAATAGACCTAATTACCATAACCCTCTACTCCTGCTTCAGACTGTCCTACTTCCCCACCATCTGGAAGATTGCTCGCGAAACCATGATCCCCAAGCCTGGCAAGGATCATCGGCTCTCATCTAACCACCGTCCCATCAGCCACTACCCATACTTGGCAAGTTATTCGAAAAGATACTTCTTCGTCTAACACCTCTCCTCGATCCCAGCATTACCTCCACACAATTTGGTTTGCCAAGAAGGTCGCTCGGCGGCCCTCCAAACTTTAAACCTTTCTCTAGCCATCGCCACCCCGCAGCAAAATAGAAACGAAATCATTCCATTTTCGCAGACCTCACCCAAGCGTACGACACCGTCTCCCATCCAATCCTTCTCATGAAAATCCGACCCTATATTCCCGATCATATTCACACCCTACTACAAAGCGATTTAAATCATCGCTCCTTCCACATCCGACACCTATCAAAGACCTCTCCCAATTACCCAATCCAAGCCGACGTCTCACAGGGCGCTGTGCTATCCCCAATCCTTTTTTCCATTTATATAAATTACGTTCTACCAACACCAGGAGTACAAACTATCCTTTACGCCGATGACCTTGCTTTCCTAGATTCCTTCCGCTCCCTAAACAGATCCTTATCGTACCTCCAAGAATCCCTAAACAATTTCCACCTCTGGGCTTCCCAAAACTCCATTATCATAAACCCCGCCAAATCCCAAGCAATCCTGTTCTCCTATAAAACATACCCATCCAACCTCCCTCCTATATCAATTGGAAATGAACCAATCCCCTGGACACCAGAAATGTCCTACCGTGGCATAACCTTCTCCCGCAGACTCCTTTGGTCCCACCACATTCACAAAATTACTGTCAAAGCAACCAGAGTCACCAATATCTTATATCCCATTCTCACCAATTCCCTTATACCCACAAACAGAAAAATTTTAACTTTCATCTCCTATATGTGTCCCATCCTAACATATGCCCATCCCACTTGGTTCGCTACATCCCACACCAATCGCACCAAACTAACCCGCGTGGAAAACCACAACATCCGCCTCATTTCCGCCCAGCCATGTACACAATTTACAAATCTATACATCAAAACAAAATACCCCACATCCTCACACACCTCCACAACTCCGCAATATCCCAAATTAAAAAATACATTGACAACATCCTATTCCGAAACCTAATCCTTCTTCACCACCACATTCTCAGAAACCTACCCCGACACACCCGGAAAAAGCATCCTTTAGACGTCCTCCAACTTCCCCCTACTATCACCTAAGCCAGAGGACAAAAACAAACAACGACAAATTAAACTCACAACGAATTGACAGCATGACTGACACGCTGTTCATGTCGTCGACAACAAAACACCGCCGCCTCCTTTGACTAAATCCTTGCCCATGCCGCAGACTCCTTTGGTCCCACCACATTCAAAAAATTACTGTCAAAGCAACCAGAGTCAGCAATACCTTATATCCCATTCTCACCAATTCCCTTATACCCACAAACAGAAAAATTTTCCCTCTTCCCTCCCACCCCACCCTATCCCCTCCCATCCCAGTCCTGCCCCATCCCTCCCCCGTCATCCAAAACCTTAATAAAACAATCCCTCTCTCCACAGATAAATTAATCCTTCCGCCAAGAACCCAGACTCCCGATCCCCGTCCTGTACGGGGGAGAGGAGTCAAAAATCCCTAAAAAGAACCCACTGGAAGCCCACTGTTCGAAGAGACAGGGGACAGGCGAACACGATTTGTACACCAAATGAGACGTTGCATCAAAGAGATTTAAGCAACGAGCTAGAATAAACTAGATAATATGGCTGTCCCTACAGTTTCAGCGCTCGTGGTGGCGGCCCGCTGAACTAGTGGCCGCCATGTTTTTGGAAGTCAAAAAAAAAAAAAAAAAGAGTGATGGTGAAAACCGAGAGTAACCAGCGTCAAACGTAATGCTATACTGCGATTTTCGCAGCTCTGTCCCTGGAATGTATCAGCTGCTGTCAGTTTCATCCAATCGGAAGCTTAAACGTCACTATAGTGACGACACTTCTGCGACATTCGAGCTCCTGATTGAATGAAACCGTGAACAGCTGAGACCTGCCTGGGGCAGTATAGAATACTTTGTTTCCCAGAGGGTGCCGCTGTGACTGCAAAAAATATGGCTTCAATTTGCTTGAAAGATAGAGGCGCTTTAGCAACTGCTAGCTCGTTGGATTTAAGACGAAAAGACAAAGAAATTGGCAGATTCTGACATAGATGGGAAATCAATATTCGTACTGGTCCAGCTAGTGTAGGTTAATAGAACATAAACAATGTATCTAACAATGAAACAATGAACACCATTCAAATAATGTAGGTAAAAATAACACCAACTGTGTTTCAGAAATCCCAACTGTGTTTAAGAAATCAATATCAAAAACATTTACAATGTTGAATGAAATTAGTAGTTCGGGTCCCATTGAACAAATGTCTACTTGTTCTGTTGATAATGATTTTGATGATGATAAAAGTATTTTGAGGTCAGTCCCTACAAAGCTTCAAAATCAGTGTAGAAAAGAATGCAAAATTCCGGTCATTGACATAAAAATAAACAATGTCATTTCATAGATACTTTTATTTCACGTCTAGATATTAAATCTATTGGACGGCAGCGTCAACTTTTCGTCCCAGGACACTCTGTCGTCCCAGAGAAACTGTCAAATCTAAATAATAATAATAATAATAATAATAATAATAATAATAATAATAATATAATAATAATAATAATAATAATAATAATAATAATTATTATTATTATTATTATTATTATTATTATTATTATTATTATTATTATTATTATTATTATTGCGCATCACGCCAGCCGCCAGCGGGCGCACCGAGACATTCTCAGAAATGAAACTCACACGGGGAGAGTATGTACACCCCTTGCCACCACCTCTTGTTACGCCAACGGGCGAACAATTTAAACACAGTTGTATTCTGATTCTGGATTGGCTAATCGCTATCCCTTCCATGCCCCGAGATCTTGTCGCAACCTGCATACGCGGCGCGCGCTAGTCTCTGAGTAAACACCAGTCGAGCCAAACGTTACTCGAACTCCGTGATGAAGATTCACCTTAAACGACCCTTACGAAGCATGTAGCTTCATTTTCTATCTTTTGAAGTTAATTGTGCTAATCGCTTGAGAATTACTGGATGGCAGTGACTCGAACGCATACGCGGGTCGGCCTGGTGACTGCGAAGCAGATTAACAATCTTATTTAATTAGCATTAAGAACCTTACGAAGCATGTAGCTTCATTTGTATCCTTTGAAGTTAATTGTGCTAATCGCTTGAGAACTACCGGGCAGTAGTGACTCGAATGCATACGCTGGTGACTGCGAAGCAAATTAACAATCTTATTTAATTAGTACTCCAACGTTAAGCTCTTGTGCAAGTAAACGTGTCTCGCTCTTGTGGGTATTCACGAAAAGACTTACATCTGTTGTGAGCAAGGTGCAACAAGATCACAACGATCGAACTGTTCTACTGTACTCCTGTGACTTGCCGTCTGGAATAAACAAAAGGAGAACTGTGTGCCAACTGCTTGTTTTTATGAGATGAGAGGTCCAACCCGTACCAGCAGTCGCCTTGAACTAACAAAGGGTTCGAAACTGCTGCACTGTTAAACCCAATTTAATTATCAATCTTTCTTACAGTCCACTAATACTTTGACAAGTGCGTCAATTACAAACAATTATTACTATTATTACTATTATTATTATTATTATTATTATTATTAT